GTGTCTTGTTCACCAACTGTAAAGGATGGCGGTAGATGAACGAGTGGGTACACGTCCGTTGTTCGAGTCTGACACAGCAACACGCTCAAAACCCTAAAGTTCAAGTTCAATTGTCTTCTGGATCTTCCAAACGCCATCGGTGGCCACAGGATCGTTTTTGTATTTGAACAGCCCCCTTAGATTCTCTCAATCTGGGGCCGGCGAGACAGTGGGGGTACAGGAGGAGAAACTTCTGGGAAGGAGAAGCAAGAGCCTTTGGGAAAAAGGATGTCGATAGAGGATTCCTTGTGGCTTTTGACATTTTCAAGCTGTCTATTACTGAAATTCCTAAGGAAAGAAACTACTAAATATGTTCTGAAAGTTGTTCTCTGAGTTCTATATCCTTAACTTATTGTTAGATTTGGTCGCCTTTGCTATGTTTGGAAAGAACTGCTCGTATCTCCGTCAGAATCGATTCTGCACTCTGCAACTTCCGCTTCCGTAGTCGATTTCAGTTTTTGCGTTCTAGACAAGGGATCTTTCCAGTCGGGAGAGCAGGGAGACATCCATAAAAAGGAGACGCTAAGGGTGCCCTCCGTTATTCCTACATCAAATCACAGCTATTGCGCTAGAAAATTCTCTCATTGATTACGGGAGGAAAGAGAGAAGGAAAAATCGCTCAAAGGATAAAGTCTGTGAGACACACACACCTGTGGGGGCGAGGAGGGGGTCCTTCAGTGAAACTGAGACAAAACTTAGGTACACGTTGCTGTCAGGGTTTTTATTTACCAAAGCCCAGAGTCATTCTTGTGGGTATGTCAAAAGGGTCTCAATCGGTTCAAAGTCAGTGGCGAGTTCTAGAGAGTTGTTTCGCCGCACAACGTGCGTTATGGTTAGTTTGCTGTGATAGATAGTTGCCCACTGAAAGGGAATGCCATTCGAGTTTTTCGGCACATTTCCCACACTTGCGGCGATCGATGCCTCTTCCCGTTTCAATGACTTCCAATGAAACGATGAATTTTGTTTCGTTAACAGCAGCCTCAATACTCACCACTTCGGCGGGCGGGCGCAACGCGTATGAAAGCGTTGATGAAGCACAAGCGTCACTATTGAGACCAGTAATGCTCCAGCGCATACAAAGATCTCGGACAAAATGTAGTTACCTGGAAGAAGGTTTCATTGAAATTATTGGCAGATTAGTCGAAACGAATGGAATTACGGTACTTGCTCAAAAAATCAGTATACTATTAGGTTGAGTGATAAGTCCTCGGACAAAATGGTAGCGATGACTTCTAGAGATCATAACTCGGGAAAGAGGAAACGAAAATGGACGCGCGTGGCATCATTAGATAGAGTATGAAAAGCTCTTCAAAGAACATGCTAATGAGCACACCTAACTGTTTCATTTCCTGCAACCATGGCCCATGATTTCGAGCCGTCGCAGCTCCACCTCCGCAACACCATCCTATTTCTTTTTTTTATCTGGCCAAGAACCCGCGGAGTTCGATAGACGTATTAAGGAAGTTTACGAGAAGGCTGCTCCTGCTAGATGCACAATTCACAAGTGGCACACGAAGTTCACGTCGGACGACCATTCCATCGAAAATGAAGACCGTCCGGGACGCTGAATGGAGTTGGACTTGGAGGTGCTGTGGAGCCAGGTGGAAGCCGATCCGTATCAAACTACTCGTGAACTGGCAATCACCCTTGGGGAGTCAGTCCACAATTANTCGTGGATTGAAGTCAATCGGCAAGGTGCGAAAGCTCGTCGATGGATGCCTCATGCTTTGAAGCAGTATGACATGGATTTTCGCGCCGACATGGCACTTTCTCTCCTCATGCTCGAGCGCAGGAAACGGTCAGTTGTGTTCTCTAGTATGTATTTGAAAGAGCTTTTTATACTCTATCTAACGATGCCTCGTGCGTCCATTTTCGTCTCCTCTTTACCGAGTTATGATCTCTAGAAGTCATTACTATCACATTTTCCGAGGACTTATGACTCAACCTAATATTTTCCATGGTAGTTGATTCCTGTTGATTTATGCAGAGATGTTTAGTGCATGGCGCACTCCAGAGGGGTTGTCTTACGTTCTTCATTTGACCCACATCAATTGATATTAAAGGCTGGATGAGGATACCGTCTAAGCTAGCCTTCGGGCTCCTATACGGTAGATAGTCTGGACGTTAACCAGGCCAGTAATTCTAATTTGTTCCTTTCTGTGGGAATTTGGCAATTTTGTCCATCAGCAAGTAGTATTAAAGATAATTTCAAATCAAAATATCTGAAATGCATTAGGAGCTATCACGAAATACGGAAATGTCCGTCCACAGGAGCAGGTGTGCAATCAGTCGCATTTTTTCGTTGGTATTTGCTTCACCACATTGCTACGAGGGGTATGCGTAAACACTATAGGCTTGCTTGCTTACGGTAGAGAGAAAGTGACGTGTAAATTGAAAAAAATTAAAAAGGTAGACTTTATGGAGTTGATAAACCCTGTGCGGAATGAGCCCACGCCTTAAGTTTCTATCCAGAATTATAATGGTGTTTGGTAGCCTATACAATGACTTGAAGTGGGCTCTCGAGGTTCAGTGCTCCTATACACCCGGAGCAGTCTGGGGTCTCGCAAAAACCTCTGTGGCGAACCTTCCGATTAATCAATTTCAAGAAGATGAAAGGCTTTTCTAAGCTGGGCGATAACGTCCACGGTTTGATTTCCGGGCCTGGTTACGGAGCGGCTTCATCAGGCATCACCTCATTTACGCTGAAGGCAATTTTTTACCGAACAGTCTATTTAGAAAAACGATGGTATCTGTGCGTCGGGGATTTCGCCACATACGGCACACATTCGATCGCTCCGAGAATAAAAAGTTTTTTTTACGGAAGGGATGTAGTACTGTGGTGCAACTATTTTTTAATAGGGAATTTGGGTTCTGGGTACTCTTATTGGCTATATTTAGTAATTTCCTACTTGACCCCGGCTGGAATGAATACCTACCAAAATCCCGAAAAAATTGAAATCTGATTGATGAACGAAGTATGAAGAGAGTTACTGACCAAGCAACGGGAGGCGAGATGCTTTTGGCATCATCTCTGCGACGAGATTCAACATCATTGAAATCGACACGAACATGTTCAGTACCAGGGTCACCTAAACGGGTACAATTGCTAGGAGGGCTAGACCAAGCTGTCAGCACCAGAAAGCAAGTTCAAACCTTTTCGCGACGTTCAGGAGTATTGCTAAACGGTGTGAATATACCAAATATGGTCAAGGTGGTCATGATGAATGTCGGTATCTGAAAAGTGATATTTCTAGAGATTTCTTTGTTTCCAAATGACTTTCTATGACCTGTAATTTTTTGGATACCGGATACCTGTTTCCTCTTAGTGGAAACTAAGAGGAAACAACATGTTTTTGAGGTAGCTGTTATGAATTCTTCATTAATAGCCACTATTTAGGAATCCTCAAATTAGAACCATCGACTAAGAGATCCGAGGTATCTACATGATAGCTAAGTTAGAACGTATACCTGTATAACAAGGACATAGTAGACGGGCTTTCGTTTCAGCTGCACTTGATAGATGACCACTGAGAAGGATTGGTTCTGAAATGCTGACTTCTCGAGCAGAATCTATTCAAACCAGTAGATCTCTTCAGAAACGATACTATAGTTGGTGTATGTATATGCTGTATGGGCGGAGGTGGTGTAGTGGCAAGTGGCGCACTATATCACACGTACGGTCAGGGAATCGAATCCCGGATCGATACCCGCATAGGCCAACCAAGCCTTCCATCCCTCCGGGGTCGGTTAATTGGTACCACACTCGACTGGGAGGATAAAAGNGGCGGAAATGTGATTGTGTGATACTGGGTGACCGTTGAAGCAGGGCGACCTGAGTGTATCCTCCGAGACGTCAAACAAACACTAGGATAGCCGCTAGCGCGATNATCGATACCCGCATAGGCCAACCAAGCCTTCCATCCCTCCGGGGTCGGTTAATTGGTACCACACTCGACTGGGAGGATAAAAGCACTGACTTGTACATCGGCTGGCCACCGCAAGTCATTGTATAGGCCACATACGCACTCATTAGGCCACCACGATTCCGATTGGAAGTCGAGTGCGGGGGCGCAACCCTCAGACGGGATTGATTAACGCCAAGAACGTTATCATTTTATCCTTTATGTATATGCTGTGTATCTGCTTCAGACTGGGTGCCTCCCTCAACGCCCTCCTCCGTTACAACCGCTTTATCATTATTTAGTATTTGTTTTTTGGGTGAGTGAATGGGAGGCAATGATTCCGCTTTGAATTTATATTACCCAACTTTAAGAGAACGTTTCGAATTATTTTGTAAGGAGCATTTATGAAAAAGGTGAGAAATGGACTGACAAGTAGCTGAAAGCGCATCATTCGATTTCTTAAGGCAATTCTTGCCTTCATCTAGTGTGGTCACCCCTCTACACTGCTATGGGAACATTTGTTTCATGAAGAGTGCAATTGCTTCTGATGCGTCATGAAAGGTGGACGACAGCGAGACAAATGTCCGCGAATGCTTCAGCCACCTACATCGACTGGGAAAACAATATGATAAACGACCTGGCTCCAGAGCGGAGCGGCAGGAAGCAAAGGAAAGCTTCATGCATATCGAGGGAGCAGTGAATAAGACCAAGAGTGTTTGGCTCCATGTCCATCTTTCCAATTCTGCCATCCCTCCTGCTTTGACTTACGACTCAAAAATGGGGACCTTACGCAGGCAGGATGAGCACGCAGTCAGTGTCATCCAATACGGTGTGGAGAAGACAGTGCTCGGCATTTCCCTACAAGCAGAGGCAGAAAGGACTCTGGAAAATCGAGCTTCGTCAGCGGACTAATGGTAAGATCAGTTAAGAGGTTCCATATGCTCACGAATGGAAGATCAGATGGGCGGAAATGTGATTGTGTGATACTGGGTGACCGTTGATGCAGGGCGACCTGAGTGTCCCCCAAGACGTCAAACAAACACTAGGATAGCCGCTAGCGCGATGGTTAGAGTTCTTCATGATTCTTCATGATTAACGAGACGACCTGTAACAGATGGCTCTCGAATTTTCTGTTTCCCAAGGGTCAAGCATTCTCTAACACCCCTTTTCATGTCTTTGGGAGCGATACGTTGTTCTTGTACCAAAGTCGAAAGAGCAGTCATACAGGAAACGTCTCCGGGATAACATGTGGATGATAGAGACGTTTGGTTTGGATGCGATAATGTATATAGTAGGCCAGGGGAATAGGACTGGTCTGACTTTATCGTCTTGACTTTATCAGTGTCTTGTCGGAGACCTTCCACACTATGAAGCTATTTTTGAAAAGCGGAATCAACCTAATGCCTAGAGAGCTCTCGAATGGAAGTGGCTTAGGTTCGCCTTTTATTCATCAGGTATCTACCTACCTGATCTGCATCAAATTGGATTTCTGGAAAAGCTCGGATGGTATGCAGCTCCCACTCACTGTTTCCCTGAAAACAAAGAGTTGGTTACGGGAGTTGGTTTCCCATAATCACAAGATAAGAAGTGACTTCGAATTGGTTCAGAGTTGGTTCAATGCGATCTGTCGACGGCTTGACTAAAACGTCATCAGCTTCATAATTCCATGGGCCTGAAAATATATGTACAGTAGCGGCCAAACGACTTTGGTGAAATGCTTTGACGCTTTTTCGTTCATAACTTTTTTCTCAGTGAAGCAAATTGCTCGAAACTTTGCCATGTTTAACTAAAGCATATTTCACACTATCCAACACTACTTGACTACGAAGCATCAATATCCGCTAACTAAGAACAGTACTTGTTGCGGTGGTAGGTTTCGCTAAAAGCAAAGTTGTTGACGTCTACAGTTATTCGCAGCCTATGTGCATTTTTCCCCTTCACTGTCTTCAGTATAAGCGCGGAGAACATCCGTTGCGCGTGTCCATCGAAAGTAGGTCACCCCGCCCACTTCGCGCGCGGCGCATCACACTGAGGTCTCGAGACGACATTACNGACAATTGCGACGTCTGTCAAATATCGCGGGCCGACTCGCCGCGTGCGACGGCTGCGGCGTGACCTAGTTTCGACGGACACGCGCAACGAAGCGCACCCGTATAAGCGCTCGTATACTTTTGACATGGCAGAAAGGAAAGAAACCTCAGAAGAACCATCATTAGTATTTCCAATTGATTTTGGGTTAAAGCTCTTTGGGATATCTGTAACGTGATCAGATTGCAGGTTAATAGTGGTAAATATCCACAATACACCTATGCTACACATATTGAAGTTTCGCATGATTACATCAAGTAGGAAAGGAGTTACGACTGAAAAGTACGACCGACGAAGCATTTCGCCGAATACTTTTGAGCGCTACTGTATATGACCACGGATTTGAATGTACAGGATTCGAATTTAAAAGAAAACAGTTTCTAAGTTCAGTAATTTCCATTATACAAATAATTCACTCCCATGGTACCCTTATGTGCTGTGAAGAAAAATTTATCTCAAAAAATCACCAACCGATGGTTAAGTTGCACTTCTGGACGTCATAGGGAAACGAGTCGATATGTAACGGGCAGGGATAGGTGACCTGCGATGGTATATGTATTAGATTTTAAAAATTAGTGGAGAATGAGGAATGTTTATTTATTCACTTTATTTTATTTATTTTATATCATTTACTTACTACTACTATTAATGGAAAGGCTCGCTGGCTGACGATTCATTGAATTATGAGGGTTGTTTAGGAGTATGCTAGGTACGAGTTGGGTNGAGTCGATATGTAACGGGCAGGGATAGGTGACCTGCGATGGTATATGTATTAGATTTTAAAAAGTAGTGGAGAATGAGGAGTGTTTATTTATTTACTTTATTTTATTTGTTATTTTATATCATTTACTCACTACTACTATTGATGAAAAGGCTCGCTGGCTGACGATTCATTGAATTATGAGGGTTGTTTAGGAGTATGCTAGGTACGAGTTGGGTGCTAAGATCGGGAATGGGGTCTTCTGAGAAATACTAGGAGATGGGTGATGTCAGTCCTCATTGCTGTAATAAAAAGCTGCCCAAAGTCTGAAAGCCTTTCATAAGGGTCAATTCTGAAGCGGTAACCAAGGTGGTACCACTTTGACCTTTGGTATGGTTTGGAGGCGAATCAAGGAACCGAACTCGCCTAGACCAATCCAGACTTCTCTTTTGGTGCGAGTTACCATGTAACGAACTAGCATCCAATGAACATGATAATTCGTCCATTGGGTAATTCCCGCAGGTCAGTGCACAAGCCCGTTACCCTTTCAAACTGCAATGCGATTTTGATGGGAACTCAAATACAAGGCGCATCTTCCAATAGAATGGGTCACTGCCGAAAATGTGGTCCTATTTTAATATCCGAATAATGAATAATAGCTAACTTACAATTGTAGGATTTGATACTCGAACTGTACCATCGTATCGTAAATCCGCCATTCTCTCATCGACTGGGACCATTTCATCGCGCTCCGTCCTAAACAGAGTTTGCCGATGACTTGATGGTCATAACTTCTCAGTTATTCTTTTTCTTTCTCCCCATGTTTCCTACGTAATTTTGGCTCCTGGTTTTTGTTGAAAACGTTTTCCTACGAAACAATATGGGAAAAATTGAAAAGACGTAAATTACGCTGAGATGCCGTTCACCGTTGCTGGAGGGCGGAAACTCGAGTACCTTCCAACATCTATAAGTCGTCTTTCTTTCCAAAAAGATCACCGAATTCAAAACTAAAGGGAAAGGGTGGAAGAAGTCCCATCCGTAACATTTGAACTCCAAAGTCTTTGGGCGTTGATCAATTCCGTCTGAGGGATATGTCCTCGACTTCCATTCAGAATAATATACGATGACTTGCGGTGGCCAGACGATGTACAAGTCAGTGCTTTTATGCTCCCAGACGACCCTGGTACGAATTACGCCCTTGGAAGGATGGGGAGTTGGTTGACTCAGGCGGATATCAGTCAGGGATTCGGGCCAGTGACCATACATGTGTGGTAGTGCGCCATTTGCCACTATACCAACTACACTCTATCCATTGATAAGTAAATTAAAATAAATAAATAAAAGTAGTAGTAAATAAGTAAAGTGATCAAGTAAATTAATTATCGTGCTTTCATTGTTTTTTTTTCTCAAAAGGAAACTAACGCTTCTGTATAGATGATATCCGGTACCCATACGCTTGTCTCTGGGATTTTGATCCATTCTCGACTGTACGTAGTTTTGTTCCTATTCCAAGCTAGTTGCGGATCGGTCCATGACTACAAATCGCGAACGTACAGAAGACTAGTTACATATAGACGAACTTCCTAGGAAAGGAATTGGAATTATGCTAAAATCAGGCGGGTTCTAACGCAAGGTTAAAGGTACCGTTCACATAATTTCGGGTAATCCAGATTATGATGAAAAATGGAAGACAAGATCGAAACTAGTGCGACTGAGGTGAAGAAACTGCGTGCATCGGTGTTTATAAAGTGAAAAAAGGCTTCGAAAAACCGTTAAAAAGGGGGCTGGACGAGAATGAAACAAGAAAAATGAAGAAGAGTGGGGTGTCCAGGCGAGCTAAACAGTGTGTTTCACTGCGCGCGTGTGGGTCCTGGTGCGAAGAACAGACAATGGTAAGCAAAAATTCATCCACTTATAAGCATAAATAAACAAAAAAAANGTAACAGCAAAAGTAGCTCACCTTTTTCAACCTCTAAGAGTAGGAAATTAAATAAGGGATCGCGGCAGCAAAAAGAAAAACAGAGGAAAAAAGAATGGGAGAAAAACATCGTCTCATCACTCGGCGATTAGCTGATTATGCGTGGGTCCTATAACGAATAATAGCAATCTGTATTGTCTCGACACTCGTCTAACGTGACACCGATCGAGGGGCGAGCACGCGAACTACGGCAACAACGGAGCTGCCACGATGCCCTGGACGTCGAGATTGGGGGAGTGAGAGGGTCCCTTCTACAACCCATGGGGGTCGCTGAGTATTAATAAGGTAAGTACTCAATAACTTTTTTATCGTGAACGGTGCCTTTAACTTGGTGTTTGCACAGGAAAAGAGAGCGCACGTTAAAATCAATTGGCGAGTCAGCGGTCCTGACACACTACATGCCAATTCACCTGGGGGCGGGGCTGGCAGGGAAGGCGTTCCAGACAGACTGATCCCTAATTACTCATTTTCAAAGCTGTTTTTTCTCGGATAAAGCCTTGATGTGAGAGGATTTGGGATAAGCTTCTGAATTTGAAACGACCATCTCTGGAAAATTTTGAGATTTACTAGGGAAACTAGTAAAGGGAGTGTTACACTGAGGCAATGCACAACTTCAGATCTAAGAAAAATTTTCCTACAAGATGTAGGCTTACCAATAAAATCTCTTCAGAAAACACGATCGACTCCTGCTGTTGGTCCTGAGTGAAAAACATTTATAATAGCATTCAATGAGCACTGGCTGAAAGGGGAGACTGCTCGGTGGACAAAAATTCACTTACCATAGATAGAAGAATGATCTTGTTAGGAGTAATTGTAACGATTGTGGTTGTTACATTGGAATTCGGTCGAACAGCTGTTTCATATGTATCGGGCAGTAGTTCGTTCAGAAGCTTTCTGGCTGGTGTCAGACGAATCGCTTAAAGGTAAAGATGATAGGCTGATTAGAACACACCTCATTGGTTCCTCCTCAGACAATTTTTTCGAGGGGTTTTTAGCGAGAATATGGGCGGCTTGAAGTGAAAGGGATTGCTGCTACTGATGTATTCCCATTTTCGAACGATTTTTAAGGAAAATTCTGGTTCTTCTGAGAAGAGGGTTACTTTAGGAGCTATTTCTGTCATGCTTCATAAAAAATTATTCATCGCCAAAATTCTCTTCACATGATTCGCTGTTGTTCCTGTTCTTACTTCCTAAAAGGGGGCTTTTCTTTTTTTTCACTTCTCCAATCCATACAGCTGTGCATTCGTTCACTAACACATGAAGG